TGTGTGTGTGTGTGTGTGTGTGTGTGTGTGTGTGTGTGTGTGTGTGTAATGGAAACCATACATCAGGCAGGGGATTAAGGAGGAAAGCTTTGACTCCCAGGCCCCAGGCCCAGCTTCTGTCACTGGCTGCCTGTGTATTAAAAAGAGACAGTATAGTATGCATTCCTTGGAAAATCTGAACAAAATGAGTGAGAACACTCTACCGTCTCATCGAATCTGAGGTCCAAAAAAAAAGGAAAAAAAAAAAAAGAGACAGTATGGCAAGATGGTTAGCATTATAGATTCCTCCCTTCCCGATCAGTCAGCTTGGATTCAAAGTTTGGTTCAGCCACTTACGGTCTACATAATCCCTGACAAAGTACTCTGCCTCAGTGGGCCTCAGTCTCCTCAACTGTAAGATGGGGATAATAATAGTACTTACCGCTTGGGGTTCTTGTGAGCATTACACATGTTAATTCATGTTCATTGCTAACAGCTCAGCCTTGGGAAGCCCCATGACTGTGAATGCTTGTTAATTATTACTGTATCTCTAGTCCTCAGTTTCTTTACCTCAAAGGTAAAGATCAGTAACCTGGTTATTTCCTAAGTGCTGCAGAGAAGGTGGAGAAAATGTCAAAGCTGCTTGCACACAGCTGTTTGGGTTGGAGATTGGAGCCTTCAGGCTACGAGTGCTCTGGAGTCAGACTGGTCATGGGTTCCAGCCCCACTTTTGCCACTTGCCAGCTGTGTGACCTTGGGCAAGTCGCTTCACCTCTCTGAGCCTCAGTTTCTCCACCCGTAAAGCATAGATTAAATAGAGTATCCACCTCCTACTGTTTCTGCGTCAGCTCTGGAGTCAGCAGGCTGGGTAAGCCCGGTGACCCTGGAGAAGTCACTCAAACCTCTCTGCCTCTTGTTTTCTTCCTTCATGAAAAGGGAGTCATAACAGTGAGGGTGCAGTGAGGACGCAGCTACGGTGTCTGGCACTCTCCTGGCTCATAGATGGATAAGTACACTCTATTTCCCCCGGTTGTTTCTATTACTAATGCTGTCGTCGTCGTTGTTGTTACAGAAGGATTTGAAAACTGGTCGCGGGGTCTGAACGCAAAGGTCGCGGTCGCATCTACAGCGGACTTCCCCGGGCCTCCTATGAGGGGGTAAGATCGGGCGCCCGAGGGTCCGGAGCCAACCGGCCGGACCAGCGACGGTGCAACCTCCCGCCGTGGCCCAAGCGGGCCGGACGAGGTGAGCGGGGCGGGGCCGTGCGGGGCGGGGCCGCCGCATCCCCGTGACGCGCCGGCCAACCAGGCGGCGTTGCGGCCCCGGCTCCCTCCGCCGCTGCCTCCCGCCCTCGCCGCCGCCGCCGCCGCCGCCAGCAGCCGGGCTAGTCCGTCCGCCGCTGCCCGCCGTGCCCGAGCCGGCCGCATGGCGCTCCGCGGCTTCTGCAGCGTCGATGGCTCAGACCCCTTCTGGGTAAGTGCTCGGCGGCCGCCCGTGCCGCGTGGGGCCGGCGGCGGGGAGCGGGAGGGAGGGAGGCCGGCGGGCGGGGAGGCAGGCGGTTAGGGCGAAGCGCCGGGAAGGGCGGGCCGGGCCCGCAGCCCCGGGGACCCCTGCCGCCCCGAGCGCCGGGCTCCCCACCCAGCAGCTGGCCTGGGGGCTCCGCTCCCCAACCCGCCCGCGGCCGGCCCCTTCGGGAGAGCTGCTGAGGGGGGAAAACTTGGGTGACTCGGCTCCGGGGAAGCAGGGCGTTGGGGAGGGGTTGCCTGTGCCCGGCTCTGGGGCTTTTGGGGGAAGGTGAGAGGCCAGAGCCTGGGGGAGGCGGCTGAAAAGAGGGGCCCTGTCCGCTCTGGGGTTCCCTTTTCGATTAAAAATAACCTGCCGGGGAAGGAGGCGCCAGAGGTGGGGGGTGTCTCGCTGCTTAAGTTCCCCCATCTCCTTTGTGGTTTGGAGCCCCCTTTTCGCAAACACCCCGTTACCAAAGGGCTGAGCTGGGGAAGGGCTCAGGCTATGGAAAGGGGCTTCCAGCGACTGGGTTGAGGTTTTCCCCCTCCCCACTTGTTTTGCATCCATATTAGTCTCCTGTGGTTACAATTTTTTTGGTCATCTTTTACTTTCCTTTTGCTTATACTTTGAGGGGAGTTTGGGGGAACAGGGGGAAAATTAGGGAAGTTTGAGGAACAGCCAGGAAAGAAGGTAGGGCTGCTCACCCCTGCTCTGACTTGCCTGACCCTGGGGTCAGGTTTGGGGTGCAGCTGAGGATGCCCAGTATCCTGGTACCAGTGGGCGTGCCATTCCACCCCCTGAAACGTGAGGCTCGTCTCTGTGGGGACCCCCACCTCCAGGTTTCTTCTGAATGTCCATTGCTGAGCCTGCTGAGTCTTCGGAGTCTATTCTCTGTGGTTTAATCCCCAGTGTCTTGGGCTTTAGTTTCCCAGTAACGCTATTTGCCTCTTTGTTACAGGAAGCACTCTTGTGTCCCACCATCTTGATTATTGGTAAACACGGAATGCAGTTCTGGACAGGATAGTTTTCCCACTTTTGTTTAGGAATCAGGAGAGGGAAACACCCTTGGTTCTTTGGAGCCAGTGATTAGCATCCAAAAATACCTTCTTGTTCTGTTTTGTGGTCCTCTCCTTGCAGGCTGCATTTGGAGTGTTGAAAAGTCATCCTTGAGGGCCCCGTGGGAAAGGCTTTATTTTTGGGAGGTATCACTTGGTAGAATAACAAAACACTGCTGGGTATGTCTCACATTTTCAGGCCAGTGGGATCAGAGATTTACTCTGGGGCTGGAAATAGTCCAGAGCTTTGCACTCAAGGTCCAGGACTAATTGGAGAGCAGACTTATTTGCAAAGTAGTGTTGTACTTAGCAGAGAGAAGAGAATCTGAGGAGTCCTTGCTCCCCGTACCTGGTGTAACAACAGCAAGATGATTTCTGCAAGAATCAGATGGGGATCTGGTCTAGTGCTGGCTGTGAATACTGGAGTATTTCCTTGTTTATTTTCTTCTCATAAATTACAGAGGGGAAAAAATAGGCGGCTGTAAATTAGATTCTGCACCAGGGTGTATTTCATTGATGGCAACTGGCAGTTGACGTCTAGTCAGGTTTTCCAAAGTCGACTGGGTTTGGGGGTGTCCTCCGTTTATTTAGCTAAAGAAGCTCATCCGGGGAAACAGTTGTGTTTTTTCTCCTGCAAGGACTTTTGCTACAGAAGTTGCCAGGTGGTTGGCTTTCCCTTCTGCCAGGCCCTGCATCTTTCCCCAGTCTTTGGCCCTGCAGACTTTTCTCTGTGCTCCCTCCCTCTGGATTTCTGGACTTGCTGGATGTCCCAATTTCTGGAGGTGCCCTGGAACCAGAGTTTGAGAGTAGGCAGCTGGGGCATGAGAACTTCCAGGTAGCAGGAGAAACCAAATGTAATTGAAAGCAGGTGACTTCTGTGTTTTCCAGGGCACACACTCAAGGCCGGGAGAGATTCTGTGACCTTGGGCAAGCCAGTGTGCCTCTCTGTGCCTCAGTTTCCTCATCTGTAAAGTGGGGGTGGGGGCCCCCAAAGTCTCAACCTCCTGCGGTTGTTTTGAAAAGTAAATGAGTCCATCTGTGCAAGTGGCTCAGCCTGTGCCCTGCACAGAGTTAAGCAGAGGTTATTATTCTTCTTTCCAAAGATGAAGTTGTGTGTTTCGAGTTGCTTGTCCTTCCTTTGGACCCACTTTTTCTTCACCTGGGGCATGGGATTGGGCCACCCACCCAGTCATGCCTGCCTCCTCCCTTGACCAAGGTCATGTGTTTAGAAATCAAGGTGACTAGCCCACCTGAGACTCTAGTCAGAGCTTTGTTCCTGGGCCAGTGCCGGCCTCTGAGCCCCAGGAAATGGCCAGAAAAACCAGCACGTGGAAATAGCCTGTGGTGAGTGTTTGGCTGACTTCCCACCTTCACCCAGGCAAATGCTCTGGGATGGAAAAAGAGGAACTTGGTTATCTAAATGGAAAACAGGGGCTGAGTTCCCCAGCACTGGGTTTGCCTTTGTTTTTTTTTTGAGGGTGGTTGTAGGGGGGCGGGTAGGAAGGACTGTTTTGTGGCTGATGTTTAAATGATGGTTGGGAAAATGGGCACGGGCCTCCCCTTGCGAGTTAATTTTTTTAAAAAATTCATTTATTAATGTGTTGCACGTCCAGTGTAGAAAAATCAGAAAATGTCGAAAAGTAAGCGACAAGTCAGTAAGCAGTGGAGTATGGCGGCTCTGAGCAGTGCTCACATCTCTGGGGTTCAAATCCTGGCTCTGCAGCTTGGGCGAGTTACTTCCCCCTCCATGCCTCAGTTTCCCCATGTGTATAATGAGGATGGTAACACGGTACCAAGAGAATCCTTGGCAGGTGCTTAGAATGTTGCTGCTTGGTATACAGTTAGCACTTAGTACATGTGAGCGGTGCAGCAACTGGAATTTTCTAGTTAATTTTTGCTGCTGTACCTGCTGCTGCTGGGGATGAACAGAAGTGGTGGATCTGTGTCATGGTTCATGGAGTCCTGCTAATATTTGGTCCTGGTGCTGATACTTGCCACGGAGCTGCCCTGAACCATCTTCCACCTGAGTAACCCCCTGAATATTCAGTTTAGCTGCTAAAGGGTGGGAGAAAAGGAGTATTTTAGAAACCATTTGAAATTCTTCTTGGGGTAAGGTCTGACCTTGGGGTCAGGCTAATTCCTGGCGTAATTAGCTCCCTTAGGCTTTACAACAATGTAGAATGAGCGGATTTATTTTTCCCCCATTCTTCAAATTTTCTATGGGTTTTTAGACGCATCACTGTGCCTTCCTCCACCTTCCTCTCTGCCCCTCCTTCCAGTCTCCTCTCTCCCTTGCGGATTAGAGCCAAAGGGGCCCTGGAACTGATGGGGTCTTCGCCTCCGTCCACCTCACTTCACGCATGTTGAATCTGAGGCCCAGAATGGCAGCGTGACAAGGTGGATGGCTTTGGGAGGAGAAAAGCCATTTGAGAGGCATGGGCAGGGCAAGGGCTAGTTCAGGGTTCCTGGGTTCCCCTCCAGCCTTGCAGAACGACCCAACAACAAGGAGCCGTGATCTTCTCCCAGCTGGACCGGCTCTGTTTGTGATAGTCTTGGAGGAGCCTCACGTTTGGAACCCAGTGGTGGATGGAAAATCTCTCTTTCCATTTGTGTTCTCAACTTTTTGGAACTAACGTCTCCACCTGGGTGTCTCATGGGTGGCTCCAGTTTACCGCGTCCCACATGGAACTTGGAGCCCCCTCACCCCAGCCCTCCCCATCTCAGCTGATGGCAGCCCTGTCCCCAGAGGCTCAGGCCCAAACCCTGCGTCATCCTTGACTCCCCACCTTTGCCTCCCGTTGCACAGCTGATCTCTCAGCAAATCCTGTTGCCTGTTCCTTCAGAATGCCTGCTTCTCACTGCTTCTCCAGCTGCTGCTCTGGCCAGAGCCACCATGGGCTCAATCCTGCATTTGGGTGTTCCCGCCTCAGTGCGTTCCCTGCTGCCCTCCTTGGCCCCTACAGTCTGGTCTCAACCCCGCAGCCAGAGGGCTCCTGTTAAAGACAGAGGTCAGATCCTCTCCCCCTTCTGCCCAAGACCCTGCAGCGACGCCCCACTTCCCTCAGGGAAAAAGCCAGAGGGCTTAGAGAGGTTTACAAGGCCTGACAGCATCTGGTCCCCTCACCTCTCTGACCACATCACCTGGTACTTTCTGTCTCCCTCACACTGCCTCAGGGCCTTTGCAGTTGCTGTTTCCCCTGCCCAGAATGCTCCTGCACCTTCAAATCCTTGTTCAGATGTCACCCCAGTCAGCCTTTCCCTGACTCCCTGCCGCTTCCTTGTATTCCCAGTCCTCTGGCTCCTCCCAACCCCCCCTCCCCAACCCAGTACGTACTGCCATCTACACCAAATCTTTTTTTTTTTTTTTTTGCGGTACGCGGGCCTCTCGCTGTTGTGGCCTCTCCCGTTGCGGAGCACAGGCTCCGGATGCGCAGGCCCAGCGACCATGGCTCACGGGCCCAGCTGCTCCGCAGCATGTGGGATCCTCCCAGACCGGGGCCCGAACCTGCGTCCCCTGCATCGGCAGGCGGACTCTCAACCACTGCGCCACGAGGGAAGCCCTACACCAAATCTCTTACTTATTTGTTTTGTTTACTCCCTGTAAACTCTCACCAAAAGGTCAACTTCACAGGGACAGAGGTTTTGCCTGTGCTGTGTAATTCCAGCACCTGGAACAGTGCCTGGAACATAGTAGGTGCTCAGTAAATATTTACTGAAGGAATGAATGACATGAAGCTTTGGAGTGGCTTGTGAGCTGGGTTTAAACCTCTTTCCGGAGCCCTCTAAGGATGACATAGTCCCTTACCTGTTTGGAATGGATTCTCAGGTAGAACAAGCCTTCCAGCTTCCACATCCAACTGCTTATATTTTGTCTTGCAAAGGTCAGAACTGAGTCTGGTCCGTCCCTTTTTCCAG